TAAAATTGTTCTATTCAACGAGAGTTATGCAACCACACCAAATATCGTATTTTTCTCATAAAGAATATCAAATATGATAATTTAGGTCTAAAGTTTGAAAAGTTAAATTGGGCTTTCTCAGAGTTCCAGTACGTGGGATCACGTTACGAGAGGTATGATTTTTTCTATTTAGATTGACTTTCAACCTAAAATATGACATATGAAATGGGTAGGTTATGGGTGTATATCACATGTTAGGTCTTGACTAGTGAGTCAAATATATGATTTATAATTAACTTTGTAATTAAAAAATTCTATTATGATTAACTTGGTGTAAATTAATGTTAGTAGTTTAAAACATGTTAATTGTGCATTAGCATTATTTTATGTTTTAAATGACATATTAAGTTTAATGAAATTATTAACTTGTTATATGATTATAGAATAATATGTATATTAAATGATTATTTAACATATAATTATTGTGGTGGACTTATGCTTATGTTTATAGAATTGATAAACATGTTGTCATGTTGAAAATGTCATTATATTATATTCTTTATGTAATGAACATTGTAAATGATATCAAAGACAATTGCACATTGAAATGTCATTATGTATGAGTTACATTACATTTATGGGCATTGACATGGGTGGGAGTGTGTGAATGAAATAAAATCAATCACCACATAGATGATTGATTGTGGGCTCGAAAAAGTCGCACCAAGGTTCGGCTGAGTCACACAAAAAATTAAATGGATAAACGTGTCGAAATAGCAAGAAGAGCTAGATTTTCTCTCGGATGCAAGACCTGCTTATTTGGTTTATACATTTTTCGACGATGAAATTCCAGAAAAGTGTAACGACCAAAACGGAGCCGCAGGTGGGATGTCCAAAGAATTCGTTGATGGTTGGTATCTCATTGGTGTAATACCATAAATCATCTCCCCACAAAGACACAAAAAAATAAATTAATTAGTCATTAAGTGTACATAACACTAATGACGGGGCTTGGAATGCCTGAATATATACACATGACATTACATGTATTGTAGGAGCTCAAGATAGGACTCGGTGTTTGTATTGTTTTCGTGAGTCTCATCTCATGACATGACATGATTTATGACATTTGTTCATAATAGACATATTTGAATGATTGCATGAAATGATTATTGTATGTGACATTTCATATGCATTTACATTGAGAGATATTCTCTATAGGAGTTACCCTATTGAGCGTTGATTCACCATTTATGGAAATATTTTTTAGGTATTGCATAGGCATCTACCGAAGGTGAGGCCATGGACCCGCTTTGATGACAGAGCCGGTCTGTGGCTCTTCTTTTGATATCGTAGTCTCTTATTTATATTTATTTTTTGCCTTGTGTAATTTTTGTAAAAAAAAATTTGTTCATATTTAAAAGCATGTATATGAGATTCTTTTGAGACATTTATTCTTTTATGAATGAATGTACGTAATGATGATGATGATTATAGTAGTATCTGATACTATGCTAAGGAGTAGTGATGAATGGGCCCGGGTGTGGTCAATGTTATATGATTGCATAGGTTGCGTTTTGGGTAGAGCTCCCCGTACAAAGAAACTTATACCCAAATTTCGTTAAGTTATAGATCTCGATAAATGAGACCTAATGGCATGGTAACGAATTATACGATTTCTACGGATATTCCATGGGTTGATGGGTGATCAACCGAGTTATTACAGACACCCGAATTTTGGGGTGTCACACCTTTCTTTTATCTCTCCTATATTTCTCTATTTATTTTAATTTAAATTTATATAAAAATTTTATTTAAAATGTAAAAATTATAAAATTAATACTTATTTTTTGATATTACATAGTATTTTCAACACAAAATTATTACTAATATACATATATATAACTTTCATCGGACAACACTTAAATCGAACATTGATATATCTAAACATAAATATGCAAAACTTAATATAATATATTTAGATTATCAATTAACATGTCAATTAATAAACAAATTAATTGAATTTCTATTTGGGCGGATCTAGAGCAAAAATCCTATCCAAGCCTTCCACAATGCTACTTAGCTCTAATTGCTTATATATTATTTGACGAAGAATATTATTGAGATCTAAAAAATTAATCTAATTTTGATACCTTAATAATGTGATAGTGATGTGATTTAATAGTATTAGTGTATTACATACGGTAATATTAAGTTAATAATACTATTTGGATCTGATTTGCTAATATAACTTACTGAACTGATACATCATATTTTATTTGTTTTGCTCTTAAAAAAATGGGTGAAGGCAAAAGAAAGCGTTTTTAACAGGCCTTTACTAAAGGGATCATGAGGCTAGGGGTGTTCACATTTTTGATTAACTGAAATTTCTTACCCTACTCGACCCTACCCTACCCTACCCTATTGAACAACTAGCCACAAGAATCGGGTAGGAATGCGGAATAGCTATCAATTTCTGCATTTCTACCTTACCCTACCTTACCCGCAATAATTAATTAATTAATTTATATATATATACATAAAATAATAACCCTAATCGTCTACTAAGTCCTGTTCGAGCGTCTCACACAATCACACTTCACTCCATTACTCCTTCATCTCCATTCTTCCTTCATTGTTCAGTCTCATTCTCAGGTACTCTCTCTCTCTCTCTCTTTCTCTTTCTTTGCATGATCTGGTATGGTTTGATTCTTTGTTGTCATTTTTCACTTTTTTGGGATTTGATGTATGTTTACTTGAAGTTGCAGAGACTACTTTATTTTGGATGTAAGTTTTGTTTGTTTATTGTTTAAAAGCTTATTTTCTTGAGAGCCTTTGGTCTGCTTTGCAATGCCAGTGGGGCTTGAGCTTCAAAGCTTAAGTGTCAGATCGGGTAGGGTAGGCTAATTATGTAATAATTAAAATAATTGATATTGTGTTTGTATAACAATTATGATAAATTGATATCCATACTTTCTTGTGTTTTTATTATAATTGTTGTTTTAGTTATTTTAGATTTTAGTGTTGTTAAATTGGTGCACGTTATTTAATTAAATTGTTAAAATGATTTAAAAATTAATAGTTTCAAAAGTGTTTACCTGACAAATATCACACTTGATTGGGTAGGGTAAGTTAAGAAAAAATTATTCCGCAAAATATCGGGTAGGAAGACAAAAAAACATATTCTCTATCCGTAGAATAGGGTAAACACCCCTACATGAGACTTCTAATCACTTTCGTTACTCTTTTTAAAAATAAACTTAATTAGGTTAGTATAATAATCAACCACTAAACCTCGATATGAGCTTTAAGAATCGAACTTCAAACTTCACGGTAAGACGTTGGACCGTTACCCCCACTTGACTATCCCATTCTAGGATAATTAATCCATTATAATTATTAGATTGGTGTCGGGTTTTATTAAATGCTAAGTAATGCTTAATCCAATGATTATGAATTATTAGTGTAAGGGGTAGAAATCGCTACGGATCTTATATCTCCACTTGAAGGATTCCAGCTGACCTGGCGGCACCGAGCCCCAGTAGCCTTTACCTCTCTTCGCCAATAGGACCTGCTTAGGTCGCTAGTGGGTACCTCCTCCATAGGAAGTGTGACTCTCTTCCGATGTGGGATTGCCTTAGGAAAGAGTCCTATTGGCGAAGAGAGGTAAAGGCTACTAGGGCTCGGTGCCGCCAGGTCAGCCGGAATCCTTCAAGTGCAGGGATGAGATCCGTAGCAATTTCTACCCTTTCGATTGCCTTAGGAAAGGGTCCTATTGGCGAAGAGAGGTAAAGGCTACTAGGGCTCGGTGCCACCAGGTCAGTCGGAATCCTTCAAATTGAGGGATGAGATCCGTAGCAATTTCTACCCCTTCGATTGCCTTAGGAAAAAGTCCTATTGGCGAAGAGAGGTAAAGGCTACTGGGGCTTGGTGCCGCCAGGTCAGCCGGAATCCTTCAAGTGGAGGGATGAGATCCATAGCAATTTCTACCCCTTCGCTAGTGGGTAGCTCCTCCATAGGAAGTGTTCACTTATATGGCAAGGCTCGGTGCCGCCAGGTCAGCCGGAATCCTTCAAGTGGAGGGATGAGATCCGTAGCAATTTCTACCCCTTCGATTGCCTTAGGAAAGGGTCCTATTGGCGAAGAGAGGTAAAGGCTACTGGGGCTCGGTGCCACCAGGTCAGCCGGAATCCTTCAAGTGAAGGGATGAGATCCATAGCAATTTCTACCCCTTCGCTAGTGGGTAGCTCCTCCATAGGAAGTGTTCACTTATATGGCAAGGCTCGGTGCCGCCAGGTCAGCCGGAATCCTTCAAATTGAGGGATGAGATCCGTAGCAATTTCTACCCCTTCGATTGCCTTAGGAAAGGGTCCTATTGGCGAAGAGAGGTAAAGGCTACTGGGGCTCGGTGCCGCCAGGTCAGCCGGAATCCTTCAAGTGGAGGGATGAGATCCATAACAATTTCTACCCCTTCGCTAGTGGGTACCTCCTCCATAGGAAGTGTTCACTTATATAGAATCCTTCAAGTGGAGGGATGAGATCCATAGCAATTTCTACCCCTTCGCTAGTGGGTACCTCCTCCATAGGAAGTGTTCACTTATATGGCAGGGGGAAGACGACTCTCTTCCGATGTGAGATTTCCTCCATAGCGATTTCTACCCCTTCGCTAGTGGGTACCTCCTCCATAGGAAATGTTCACTTATATGGTAGGGGGAAGACGACTCTCTTCCGATATGGGATTGCCTTAGAAAAGGGTAGGAAAGGGTCCTATTGGCGAAGAGAGGTAAAGATTACTGGAGTTTGGTACCGTCAGATCAACCGAAATCCTTCAAGTGGAGGGATGAGATCCGTGGCAATTTCTATCCTTACAAATATGTAGTAAATTAGTTACAAATAGAAGTGGTTAACATTAAGCTCCCCCGATGAAACCAAATGAACGGAGAACATCCACGTCGACTTCTCCTCCCTCCTCAAATCTGAAAATCCAGCACCCCATCACCCTGACCTCTCTCTCTCTCCAGCGATCCTGATGGCTCTGCTGGCTCGAAACGCCCAACGAATTGCCCTAATGGCGTCGTCTCAACGGGCGGCGACAATTCACACCACCCTCTCATCTCACTCTCAACAACCATCTTCACCGTCCTCGTATTCCCGGCCACTACCACCGGCGACGTCTTCGCCGACGGGACTACCGAAGGCCGCCGAGTATGTGATCTCGAAGGTGGACGATCTGATGAATTGGGCACGCCGAGGGTCCATCTGGCCCATGACCTTCGGGCTCGCCTGTTGCGCTGTCGAGATGATGCACACCGGCGCGGCCAGGTACGATTTGGACAGGTTCGGGATCATTTTCAGGCCTAGCCCTAGACAGTCCGATTGTATGATTGTTGCTGGCACTCTCACCAACAAGATGGCCCCTGCCCTTCGCAAGTACGTTTCTTCATCCTCTCGTTTTTTCCCCACTCCTTACGGCTATATTTCTTTGTAATGTGTAGTTTATGGATTTGTTTTACTCTTTTTTTTTTTCTAATTTTCTTTCTCCTTTGGTTGGTATTTTAGGGCTTTGTAATTGTTTGCATTTTTCTTTTTTAGGTTCTTGGATGGGGGATTGGTTCTAAGATTTTGTTGACCTCTATTTGGTTGCTCATAGAGTAGGAGAAAGTGATAGGAAAGAACTTTTTGCAGTTTTCCTTTGCTGTTATCCTTTGGTTTATGGAAATGGGAAAATGGAAAAAAAAAAAAAAAACTAAGCTTTGTTGAACTGAGAAATTAAACAAGGACATGTAAGACTATGGTGTCTTATGTATGGTTTGTATCTTCATTTGTTTTTCCATGTCATATTGCATATCACATTGAAATTCTCCTATCGTTTTTAATATACATAGAACAGTGTCAAAAAAAAAAAAAAACCTATTGCGTTCGTATTACCAATAAACTAATGCCAGTTTTTGTTGATATCTCGCTTGAACGATTCATTCATGTTGCTAGCGAAGAATTCGGGTTAAAAAAGTGATAAAAATGTAAAATAAAATTTTGAGTACGTGTTTATTAGCTTTCATTCCCACTTGAGCGGAATAGGGTTGTAGAATCATGGGGACTATTGCAGTTAATTCATCAAGCACAATTTTTTTTGAAGACTGCTGTCTTGGTTCTTGTTTTTATTATTTTTTTTTTGCTTTATAGTTGTCCTTCAGAATTTTTGAGTAACATTATCAGGGATGATGTGTTTCTATCTTTTTTTTTTCAATTGATGAGGATCTTTTTCAGTGGAAGATATTGGCATTGCATCTTCTTTCCCAGTTTGAAAGTCATTTAGTCATTGTGTTTAGATTTCAAAGAAATTATGCTGCTCTGCTCTATATTAGTTTATTCTTAGCATATAACTCAGAATGAACTTGTGCACTTAATTTTATTAGGTGCCAGAGAGCAGTGAAATGTGTGGTAATGTTGAGTTGAGATTTACTATTAGCAAGACGGGCACCTAATAAAATATACATCTAACAACTTGGGGGAGAGTGTTGGTGATAATGGTTTAAAGGATTCAATGCTCGGACAATATAGAATTCTATTCATCTAGTGAAAAAATACTTCTTATAAAAAAGGTTTAATAAGAGGCAATCCAAACTTATAGCATTAAGACTATAAGGGTGTGTTTGGATCGTTGGGGTGGATTGGATAGGATATAAACAAAATATTCTATCCAATCCAAGCCAAACCCACTCAACTAGTCATCCGGCTTGGATATATAGGTCAATCCTATCCTTACCAATGTTTTGTAAGCACACTTTCACTTCTATGGGGCCCATGGACAAAGGTGATGGAAGAAGTATTATTATGATATCTTTTGATTAATATGCCCCTTAGCAAATCCATTCCAACTGTCCAACACCACTGCATCAATTGCATTTGAAATGGAAATATTTTAGTGTCCAAAAAAAAAATCAAACATTAACCTCTTGTCCGTAATGTACTGCGACTTGGGTTGTAGGATCTGAAAATAATCATTGCTAGCATAGCAATAACCCCCTCAACCCCAACATCAAAAACCTCAAATAATGAAAAACATAGGCGTCCATAGTGAGAAGGAAATAAGATGCAATAACAGTGGCCACCATAGTCGTCCTTCTCACAAGCTTGTCAATTTTGGGGTTCATCATCTCTCTCTCCTTCTTGTAGTTTTTGGTCAGAGGTCACTGAAGGGTAGGGTTTTACATGAAATTACAGTGACAACATGATGGGAGAGTTTTGGTAATTTTGTCATTTTATTCCCATATCCCAATGGCTTATAAATTATGCCAAGCCTTCCCTGGATTTCATTTAACCCACATAGGCAGGTTAAAGTTGACTTTTCAACCCGGGTCAAGATAAACCCTAGTGGGACTTCCGGTGCACTTTTTTGCTTACCAAACCCGAGATAAATGGGCTCTACATGTTTTTTTCTCCTATCCTACTGGTGTTATTCTCCTTTAACCCGCAATCCAAACACACCCTAAGAGTTGTCTGGTTTCCTTTATCTTAGTTTTGTTTCATACTCTTTGGATTTCTTCGAGGTTGTGTATCCATTTTTTATGAGATTACTGTATAATGGACTTCCTGACTCTTCTTTTATTTTAGTAATTCCTTATGTATGTAGGTCTCTTGATGTATAAGTATTTAGTTATAACGGGGTTTTGCCTTTTGTGCTTTGTTTGACGTTTGTAGAAAGTATTGGCCAAACCATGTCATGTGTTTGTACTAGAAAGGAACGGTGGTTACCAATATTTGATCCTAAAAGCCTACATCCATTAACTAGATATATTCTGTTACATTGTGCTAATATCTATGGGGCTGCCTGATAACCATACTGTAAGAGCTGAGTTGAAAAATTATTTGATAGATTCCAAGGAATTGGTATCTTGAGACAATCATACATATGAAATTTCAATTCTTTCTTTCAATAAGTGTGTACAGCACTTCAATGATTGCCCAAAAAAATTGGGTTGTTTAGTTGATTTATATCCTTAAAGCTCCCCTTGAAGTTAGTGCACAAAAATATGAAGTCCCAATTGAACTAAAAAAGGCAGGTCTGATTTTCCAAGATGGCTGCCTGTTTTGGTTTGTGATAGTGTGAAGTTTGCAAGTGTCAAAATGTTGTTAGAAAAGTGTGACCAAGAATTATCTTCTGAAGACCCAACTAGCGTATTTTGAAACATAGAGGGACAAAGTTATGAATCAACAAAAGGAAGAAAAATGACAAAGCGGAGAATGCAATGAAGAAGCCGCTCTTTTATAGAACGTTCCTCTAGCAGGAGTCTTTTTTCCTGTGTAGAACTTTTCGAAAATGGGTCTTTCTGTTGGCCACACCTGAAATGGTTAATTTACTAACAGTTATCGACCGACCTTACTAACAGTTATATACACTGATCTTTCTTTATTTCATATTGAACTGTACTGCCATTGGGATGTGGAGTTCTTGGCCAGGCTACGACAGACATGACAACTATAGTCGACCCCCAATGTGCGACTATGCAATTGTAAGAGCAATCATATGTGCTATATCCAGCGTCAGCATCATAATCTTCTGAATAATGGGTTCTTTATTTGGTGTTTGTTTTGTTATTACCTTGTAGTGCTGATAAAATACAAAAACAGAATGGGAAGGAGTCCATAATCTCGTTACTGGCTTATGTTGGAGTGGTTCTTAAATAAGTCTTGTGTCTCATTTCAATTCTACAACTAAATGGAATATGAATGCAATAATGACCTGTTATACTTAAATTTTCTTGCAGGGTCTATGATCAAATGCCTGAGCCCAGGTGGGTCATCTCTATGGGAAGCTGTGCAAATGGTGGTGGATACTATCATTATTCATATTCGGTGGTTCGGGGTTGTGACAGGATCGTTCCCGTTGATATATATGTTCCAGGTTGCCCTCCCACAGCTGAGGCCCTACTTTATGGACTGCTCCAGCTGCAGAAGAAGATCAACAGGCGCAAGGATTTCCTTCTCTGGTGGACCAAATGAGGATCTTCAATTTGCTTCTGGTCAGCTTTCGGCTGCATGCCGAGTAGGAATAAAGTCGAACCGTGGTAGCTTCTCTTGCCTACACACCATGCGGAGGAAGAGATTTCTCAAAACTGTGGCTTGCATGAACCATTGTATGTTCTTGTATTTTATCTACTTGTGGTGTCACCTGGAGATGTTTATGGTTTTCGTTAGACTTTGGATTTAATAAAGAACAGCTCAAAATGTTTTTATTTAATATGTAGCTAGTCATTTGAAATTGGGAACACCTGTGGTATAAATATCTTAAACTTTTTTTTTTCTGGGTCGTAAACTTGAATTTCGTTCCTTTGAAGCAATTGGTCAACTTCCTCGCAAAAGCGAGTTTGTAGCTGTTCTAACTTGTTGACCTCTCTCTCTCTCGGTTCTGCTGCTGCTGGGCCGTCAAGACCCTACAAAATTTCAATTCTAAAATCGAAAAAAATTTCTAGAATTCTTTTCACTTTTGTAGACCCGTTGTGCGCAGTTTGTTGGTCGTCAAGATCTGCCCATGATGTATCCAAAAAAGAGAACAGGTTAAGTAAGTATCACGATCTGAGTAATGGAAAAGTTGGATATAGTTGATCTAATAATGTAGGTTTGAGTTCTGCTCACGACTGAAATTTAAACCAGTGACTGCTTTAGATTCAATCAAGTTGTGGGACTATGACTGTTGCATTGGAAATCAAACAATTCCTCTACCTTAACTATCAACTTAAACCTCCTGTACTCTAGGATTCTGATTTGGGATTGTCAATGAAGTCTACCCAATTTGTCCCATTCTTGTTCAAAAAATTCAACTTGAAAATCCTACTTACTTGTACTTTAACTCAATCAACTTGTTCAATCACCTTATTCTATCAATCACACTTTTTGTCCTCTCAATTGAAATACTGAACTCGAATGGTGCCGTTTATCGGTAGAAAAAAATATGGGCAAGGCTTGACATGCTTTCATTAACATGATACAAACTCTTTTATTCTCAAAGTGCCGTTTTAACTTTAAAAAGAAAGCTAACAGATTGTTGAAACTATTTCTTGAAGCTGTGTATTGAAAACACAAGATACTTGATAGTCTTACTTCGCATCTTGTCCCTCTAATAATTGACAAAAATATTATTTGAACATATTTTGACGACTTAATTTGAGTACTTAATTCAATGCAATCATTGAATTGAATATAAATTCTATCTAACATTATAATTTTTGTACTTTTTGCAATTTTCTTATTATAACTCTCACATAATGAAAAGTTATTTCTTCTAAAACAAGTTTTAATTTTACTTTTTCTTTCTCATAAGGGAAGAGAATCAAAATTTAGCACATCCAAAATTACATTTATTGGAATTGTCGTTACTTCGAGCAATGATAGATTTTTTACTGTCCAATATTCGTTTGGTACAGGTGTCTATTTATTGCCGAATCAGACACTTTAGAAAACTTTTATAATAGGTTGGTAAAAGTGTCTATTTATTGTCGAATCAAACACTTTAAAAGACTTTTATAATAGGTCGTTACTTCGAGCAATGATAGACCTTATACTGTCAAATATTATCGAATCAGGTATTTTAGAAAACTTCTATAATAGGTCATTATTTCGAGTAATGATAGATCTTCTATTGTCAAATATTCATAAATTTATATAACGGGTCAACACAAAGAAAATGTAAATTTTATTTTGAATATTATTCTCTACAAACCTCATGATTCTCTTAATTTTTAGTTGGGTGGTATGAATTCTAATCTAATGCATATAACTCAGCCCGCCATTGAAAGTGATTTCAAAAATCTGTTGGGATTTTTGGGTCTTTTCAGAGACTTTTTTCAAAGGTTTGATTATATAAACAAGCGAATAAACAATTCATGATTTTTTATCTCATTAAAATTTATTAGTTTACTACAAAAACAGTTTCGAAACAACAATAGACATGCTTACCGTACACAAAGAATCTTTTATGGGCCGGCCCGACGGGTCCCCATTGGCCCGTGTGCGCTCGATAAATACCCCAACCCCACAGTACCCAATCCTCACCTTCTCTTTATCTAGGGTTTTTACAGCCCCTCCTGCTCTCGAAGCAAGAACCACACACATTAGAGAGATAACAATGGCCGAAGAGGTACAGTACGCTTCCGGTGGGGACTCAGCAACCAACAAGAGAAAGTACGAAGACCAAACGACGCCGTCTCCGGCTTCGTCCGGAGGTCGAAGACCCACCGGATTCTCTGCTCCGATCTCGTCTCAGTCCCCACCTGATGCTCCTCCATCGTACAACACCGTGCCTCCGCCGGTCGATGAGATCCAGCTGGCGAAGCAGAAGGCGCAGGAGATCGCTGCTCGCCTCTTCAGCAACGCCGAAGTTAAGCGCCCTAGGGTTGAAAATGGTGGAAGTGGCTTCGATTCCATGGATAACAAGGGTTTTAGCTCTGGTCCCACTGGTTCGTCCCCTCTCTCTCTTGATTGATATGTTTTCACACTCTCTAAGTTACTATTTATTGATATTCTATATCTCTCCCTCTATACCGATACACATCTCTATAGCTAGAGATCTAGATGGATGGAACTGTTTATGTATATATTTGTATGGATGTATGTGAGTAAATGATAGTTCAGGGTTTCAGCGTGGATTTGAATTGTTAGAACTCTCTACAGTTGTATTTGTTCTTTTTGATGGTTTGGATTGATTTTGTTCTCTCTATCATAAATAGTGGTTAAGACACACAAATGTGCGTGAATTTTCTTTCTTGTATGTGTGTGCTTATGCATGTACGTGTATAAGCTTTAGGCTTTGTGTGTGTATGAATGGTCATATATATCGAACTACATTATTATCTTTTTATTTTTGTAATACACTCAAAATTTTAGTTAATTTATTTTGATGTTTCAACAATTGATTCATCTTTCTCTGCATATCATGTGTTTCATGTTTTCAGTGGTCATGTCTGCAGTTAGGCTTTTGGTTGATATACCAGGGTTTAATGATTTAAATCCCTGTTTATATTGCTTGGTCCGTCTTTGTTTAGGGCGTTGCCTGTTATTGCAATATTTTTCGTTTGGATTGAATTATGATCATGGCATGCATTTTTTGTGCTCTTTAGTTGTTTTGATTATGAATTTATTTGATTTAGTTTGAGTGTGATTTACGATGTGCATACGGTTTTTGAATGTGGATTTATCCTAATTTTCATCCATTTGGACTCTGGTTGAATGCAGATTTTGGGCAGAAGCCTCTGTATTCGAATGTGTCTCCTTTGATGTCAGGTTCATATGGTTATGCGGGTAGGAGCAAAAAGATTGAGATACCAAATGAGAGAGTCGGAGTGGTTATTGGTAAAGCAGGTGAGACTATCAAGTATCTTCAGCTTCAATCTGGAGCAAAGATACAGGTCACCAGAGATATGGATGCGGACAGAAATGCTCCTACTAGAGGAGTTGAGCTCATGGGTGATCCGGAGCAAATAGCCAAGGCTGAGCAGTTAATAAAAGATGTTCTCGCTGAGGTAGTGACTTTTATTTGCGTGTCATTAAAAAAGTACACTGTTTTGTTTTTTTTGCTCTCTTTATTATAAGCCGGATTTTACCATGTGAGATTTTGTACATCAGCCTTCCACTGCTGACGTTGATGACTGAAAATCTACACTCTTTTGACATATGCTTTTGATCCAGCTATGTGCAATAACAATATGATGGGATCAACTGTTCTTTTTCTAATTAATGTTTTGTTTGAGAGACAGGCTGAATCAGGAGGTCCTGGCACAGCTTCTCGAAGGTTAGTTGGACAGCAAGCAGGTGGAGAACAATTTTCAATGAAAGTTCCGAACAATAAGGTAAAGTTCCGTTGAAGTTGGTTTGGGTATCTACTGTGGAGCTGTCTATATAGTCTTTGTGTAACGAACTATCCATTTTCAGGTTGGTCTTGTTATTGGTAAAGGAGGTGAGACCATAAAAAATATGCAAGCGACAACAGGAGCTCGTATTCAGGTACATTAACAACTCTTTTTCTTCCTTGATTCACTTCATAGTTGATTCAGATTCTTCAGGTAAATTTTGGAAAATTTAGCATTTATTTTTTTATCGTTGCAGTTGTATAGTGCCATGTGGGTTTTACCTTAGTTTTTCTGCAGTTGTCACCTCATTTCCTGTTCCATTTTTTCAGGTGATTCCTTTACACTTGCCCCCTGGTGATACATCATTGGAGAGGACAGTACAGATTGATGGCTCCAGTGATCAGATTGAAGCTGCAAAAAAGTTGGTCTTTGAAGTAATCAGCGAGGTATGTTTGGTGGTTGTATAGTCTTGCAATTTGCCTCTTGGTTAACTGTTTAGTTGCATTTCTCCAAGTTTGGTCTGTTACTTGTGGAAGAAAATAGAAAGATAAGATATATTTTAGATATGCACTGCTAGAATCCTTCTTTGCGTATATACTTGTCTACTGGTAAAGCAAGACTGGACGTAATTTCAAGAAGGATGTATTGAATCCCCCCTGCAAAAACCTTTCTCAGTAGCATTTAGCAGAAGTTGTACATGTTGTGAACACTCCGACTGCTCTGACTCTTTTCTCAGTGAAACTGCATTTTGTTATTTAGCCCTTTCACATTTGAAATTGATGTTAATTCCTGAGTGGCTGTCAGAATTTTTCTATATCTGTGTAATTTTTTTGGGAACAAAGGGGTCTATAAGCCTCATGTTGCTTGGATTGTCATCAGTTATTGGTTCCAGGTTGAAGATTTGATGCTAACTTGCCATTGTGATACTCTGTTTTGTGCATTTCAATATTTCCCGTCCAGATATTAACTCAATTTATTTCTAATAAATAATGAGTATTGTTTTTTGGTTATATATCCCTCTAGCACATACTTCCATTGAGAACTGTTGTATTGGTTTTGTGTCATACTCAACAATGCTGTGCGCTCTTTTCGTTGTTTTCATAAATCATATCAAAGCATATTCATAATTTACAGTCTGGTTGTGTGGCTACCCTGTTTTAAAATTGCACGGCCTTCCCATGCTATATCTCGTAGCAATGCTGAATATGTTGTTGGTGGGCTCTATTAATCAAATTAAATGTCTTACTCTAATCTAAAATACATATTTGTGTAACTTTGACCCTAGCCCCCTCCTTTTGGTGCATCAAAAATTTCCATTTATAGTTCCTTGTCTGTATATTTGTAGTTATTTGGTTCGCCGATGCGTCCTATAAGAATATTTATAGTTTTCTTTTTACATAGATTGGGATGTTTGAAGTAGAATCTATTGCTGTGTTTTTCATTGATTTGAAGTTTAAAAAATGAAGTCTTTCTGTCTGTAGCAGCTTGT